CCCCTCCCCCGTCTCCCACCGGGGCTCCGCGGTTCCGCGACGCGTCGCCGCTTCCGGCGTCTGCCAGGTGCTCTCGGAGGCCGTAGGACGGTCCGAGACCCCGACGCCGCGTGAGGGTTATGTCAGCTCGCAGGGATAGCGCCCCAGTCGTTCCGACCCCCGCGGGGCCCTCGGGAGGTCTTCACAGGCAGTGGGCGTTTGTTCAGACCTTTCTGCGGCTCCGCACTTGCAATTAAGTTGACTTCAGGAAAATGTTTTCGAAAAACATCATATGCTTTGATGACTCATCTCCTTTTCTGTGAAACGGATCTTGCAAAGTTCGAGGGATTATCCAGAGTGCCCACAGAGTGATAAGCGAACTGTAAACAGGACGAGATGAGAATTTAGGATGTTTTTACTAGTCCAAAATTATGGTTGTGAGTTTTGGACTCTCGAAGACCCTGGTTTCATTTTTTTTTTTCTTGGATAATTTCAGAAAGTTTTGAATTCCGAATAAGTTTGACTCTTAATAACTACCCCCACTCATTTCATCCCCCAGAACTTGTCATTGAAGGAAAAAATAGTGTGACAAAGCCTGTCGATAATCAAGAAAATACTTCTTACACTGATTTTTTTGATGTGTAATCTGTAACAGTTCATTTAAGTGACTGTAGCAGTAAAATGAGCAGTGGAGTTTTGATAAGTTTCTATCCTAATAAGGTTCTTTTTTTCAGTATAGAATTACTGCAAGTATTGATTTGCCAATGTTGATGGGCACTTACTAGTAACGTGGAGTAGGAAGAGCTTCCGTAGCTTAATCAAGTGACAGTCCGGATAGCTTGCATGGCTTCCATTCAGTGTAGATACTGGGTCTTCATCTGGAGTTTCATTTTAAGAGGAATCTAGATATGTTTCGAAGTCATCATAAATAATTCTTTGCATACTTTAGAAAAAAATTTATTTTCATTGACTGGCTTTTACTGCTCTAAGTTGAATGCACATTTTTCTTTTGCATTCATTTACTGCACATTTGGTGTACACCTGTTCGGATAGAAAAAGCATATGAAACAGGATCCCCACCTTCTAAATACTTAACCCATTTAATCTCTTATGGATATTAAATAATAGCGATACATGCCTTTTAGAAATTTTATGTTTCATTATTTTATAATTTGAGACAGCCTTCTGAAGATATGCAGGACATGTATAGTTCCTATTTACAACACCATTTGGTACTGATTATATTAAATGTCAAGTGGTAGGGGCACTCAGTGATCACACAGTTCAGAGGAGATGAGATCATTTCACTTGGATTTGCTGCATTGTGGGGCTGATGCCGGGAAGAGGGAAGAGGGGTGCCCTCTACTTGGTGGGTGGTTCTGAGGAAGCCTCCTTAAGCTGTAAAGCTAATCAGAACTGTTCCTTGTCCCCAGTCCTTCCGATGTACTGATTGTTTTTTCTTCTCGTATTGGCAGAGTCCAAGGACCCCTTCCATTCTTTCTCCGTATCGCCTGATGGGAGGCATTATGGCCCCCAAGGACATCATGACGAACACTCATGCTAAGTCCATCCTCAATTCCATGAACTCCCTCAGGAAGAGCAACACCCTGTGTGACGTGACGCTGAGAGTGGAGCAGAAGGACTTCCCAGCCCATCGGATCGTGCTGGCGGCCTGCAGCGATTACTTCTGCGCCATGTTTACCAGCGAGGTAAGACACGGAAGCCTGTCGCCCGCTCCCGGAACCAGATCGTGCACTTGGATGTGACAGTGAGTTTCTGAAGCATGGGGTACATGGGCAGGCTCTGACGTTGGGTTTTACTTGGTGTTTTTTAAATGTTTTCCTGTTTTTCTCTTGCTAGAGTTTAATGTTTTAAAGTGAACGCTAGGGTGATAGGAGGGAAGGACAGGCGTGGGGTTCAGTCCTCATCCCATCTCTCCTTACAATAGGTAAAGAAAATCAGGATTCATTCTACCAGTGTAGATTCCAGAGTAATTTCGGGAGGGAGGAAGAGGACCGTGAGTGACTGTATAGCCAAGTGGAGTCCGACTGGGGAGAGAGGCTGTCTCTGGAGTATAAGCAGTTAGCAGAGGGGATCAGGGAAAGCTGGCCTGACGAGAGAAAAGGCAGGCTCACAGAGTATTAAGGCTGCCTTAGTAATTGGCGAAACACGAGTGAAGGAAAGGTATTGAACACATTAGGAGGTGCTTTCAGAGAGCTGAGCAGGAGAGCACTGTCGGGAAAATTCCCCAGACACGAGAGACCAAAGAAGGAGGCTGACTGCGCCGTCGCCATCAGCGACTATTAAGGAGGTGTACCAACGATGTCCTGCGGAGCGGGGCGTAGTGGGTCACGGGGACGGCGGGGGGCCGCTCGGACGGATCGGGCGGTCATGGAAAGCAGTCTCCGGTCGGTCAGTCTGGCTGGGTCTCCATGACCTCAGGGTCATAGAGCAGTCTGTGCATGAGCACTGTGACTTTTTCGTTTTTCAAGATCTCAACTCTGATTTTTAATTTTTAAATAAGTTATCTTGGCTTTTATTAAGCTTGAGTGACAAGGACACCAGTGTTTATTATATCAATTATCTACACTTACACATACGCCTGGACTGTTTCATGATAGGAACATTTTTTAAAAAACCTTTTTAACCACCACTATTTTCTTTATTTTCTTTAGTTAGTCCCATCACCTTAGTGTTGCTGCTGGGTCTGCAGAGGAGAGGTAGTGCCATGACAATGACAGTAACCGCCTCTTATGGGCCAGGTGCCGTGTTAGCGGGTTGCTGAGCTCGTTCACCGCCCTAGGGCTAGATGTTACCGCTCGTTGTCCGAACGAAGCAGTGGTTCTCGTTTTCATATCTCAGATAGTGGATGGCTTGCCCAAAGTCACATGGCTTGTAAATGGTAGAGGTGGGATTTAATCTTAACTTTTCTGACTCTAAAGCCCAAACGATTTTTAACTACCGCACTTCCTCAGCCTCTGAAATATGGATTTTTGTTTTCCAGAATCCAGTTTTAAAGCCAAAACTGTTTGCTAGTAAGAGCCAGTGTGCAGTCACATAGCTGGTAGGAGAAACATGGAAACGTGACAGAGGCTTCCAGCTAATGCAAGCTAGCTCTAAATGGTCCTGTGTAATATAACGTTACAGATCCCCATCCTCTACTGTCCCCTATGGTGTCTGCCCAGGCGCATCAGGAGTTGGCTGTCAAGTGGGTAGGGAGCGTGTCACCCAGCAGCTGCTGAGCAGGAAACTAATGGCCTAGAACTACTGCCTGCTCTGCACTGCTGTGCAGCCTCTTTGTCAGCCTGAAGAAAACGTTGGTCTTCACTCTCTCCACATTCAGACTTTAATACGGAGTTATGAAAAAGATTTCTTATTTTTTTCTTATCAGTGATTATGGTCTTTTTTTAAAAAAAAAAAAATCTAACATTGGGCACGAAAATACCAGATGGTTTTGTCTTTATTTTTAAGAGAATTAATATAAAGGTGAGCATCCAGAGACCTGGATTCTGGGCTTGATTCTCTTAGGAATTCTATATGAGCCTGGCAACCGTGTAACTTCACCGGATGATCTGTAAATAAAGTGATTCAACCAGATGAGTTAATTGTTCTCTTCCAGCCTTGAAATGCTCCTCAGCGTGGTCCATTTGAAAGACCACAAGAGTGAGGCCCAAGCAAGTTTTCTCTCTCTCACTGGTTAGGTCACATGACTTCTTTGAACCTTAGGTCCTTTATGTCCTGAGTGGCAACAGTATCAGACCTGACTATCTTACCAGGTTGCTGCGAGAATCAGATGAAGTAATAGTGAATCGGAACCTCTCTGAAAACTTGTAAAGCGGATATAAATGTGAGATGATCCGTCATTGCTCTAAGTTATCACAGTGAAGTTTCCATATTTAAGCTATTTGGTGGATGTGAATATAGTTTATTGAATAAGAAACTTCTGGAATAAGTGTTTTTATACGTCTCTGATTATAAATCTTATACTGTTACATGTTAATAAAATATTTTCCCCTCAGCCATTAAAAAACATGAAATCCTACCATTTGCATGGATGGACCTAGAGGTTATCATGCTGAGTGAAATAAGTCAGACAGACAAAGATAAATACCATATGGTTTCACTTATATGCAGAATCTAAGGAACGAAAAGAACAAACTAATCAAAAACAGACTCACAAATATAGTGGACAATTTGGTGATGGACAGAGGGGAGGGGGGTTGGAGACAGCGAAAATGTGGCGAAGGGTTAAAGAAGTACCAATTACTAGTTGATAGATGGTCACGGGGAGGGGGAGCACGGCATAGGGAATGCAGTCAGCATTAATATGTTGGCTAGGTGGAGGGCCAGGGGAGGGAGGGAGCAATTGGAGGGATCGTTTTATGAACCCTATAGCTAACCAATGTACTGTATACTTGAAACTAAATAAATTAAAAAAATATATTTTCCAAAAATAGTGCACTAGTGACTTTAGTGTTGGGGACTGGTTTTGTTCTTGGTCTTCGGAGCGAATGCTTTTTGACTATTCTGGGCTGATGGAGGGATCAAAGCCGATAAAGACATTTAGTTCAGAGTAGAAGTACCCTGGAGTTTTGTGAGTAATCTGAATTTCTATGATCTAGTAAAATTTTCCTAAGGTAATCAGTTTCTCAGATAGTTTACTGTCCTATAAACTTGAGGGTTTTCACCTGAGCTAGTTTCCTGTGATTAACCAGCCTCATGAAGCACATCTCCAACAGCGTACCATGGCCTAAACATCCCACCACAACTCAGTAATCCCAAAGTGGAAACATCCCACTGCCTTGCAGAAGGATCAGACAACTCGGTCGTGTTCAGTGTCATAGCAGACGGCCCTTAAGGTGACCTGCATGTATCTTTTCATCATTACCAAATGTCGTCTAAGGACAGATGAGACAGTACTGGAGAATCTTGCAGGGTCCTCTCCGAACATGAAATGTCTTTGAAATTTCACGCTTTACCTTAAAAGCTCAGGGACACTGTGGGTGTGTTTGTGGAACCGCTGCATTCTACTCAGTGATATAGCCATGTTTGTTTACTACGAAAGCGGTGTTTCAGACGAGTCGCAGGTCGGGTTGGTGTTCCGGGGGGCACTGCCGCCCTGCATGCTCCTGGGTTACATACTGTTCCTCCCCGGTTCGAACAGCTTCAACCACGTGCCATGTTTGCTTTATACAAATCAAACAGAATACCTCATAATTTTTAAAAAGATGCGTATTCAATTAGTGTTATTAATGTCCATTCAGGTTCTTGGACAGGAGATGCTGCTTTGACCTTGTGGAGCTATAACTCATGCCTTTTGAATCTCCAGCTCTCAGAGAAGGGGAAACCGTACGTGGACATCCAAGGTCTGACCGCTGCGACCATGGAGATCCTGCTGGACTTCGTGTACACGGAGACGGTGCACGTGACCGTGGAGAATGTGCAGGAGCTGCTCCCTGCAGCCTGTCTGCTTCAGCTGAAAGGTACAGATGCTGCAGTTGCATCAGTCAGGCCAAGGTGGCCTGCACATGCTCACATGAACGGCCACCTTACTCACGGGGTCGTGGAGACAGACGGCAATCGTGTGTCCACCCAGGCACGGAAGGTCAGATTTCAGTCACGGTAGAAAGGGACCTCTCCAGATGTGAGTGTTGGGTTCTTCAGAACAGAACATTTACACCAGTTCTGTGTTTTAAAAAACAGAGGAGGAAATAATACATGGAAACAGCCCCACGAGGAAACAAGAAACTGGCGCTGTCCATTGCCCCCATGGAAGGGACCAGACGCCAGGTGGGTAGGAAGGCCAGGGGGCTCTTTGGGGTAAGGCCTTTTGTACCTTTAATTTTTTGAACCATGTAAATTATGTATTAAAATTTTAATTGCCACACAGAAATGAAAGTAGAATTTTTTTTTTCCCCTTCCACCTCCCAGTCTGTCTTTCGTAACTGCCAATGATTATTTTCTATTATTTCCAGTTTTTCTGTACAGATGATTGAACATTTTCGGTTTTAATTACATGGTTGAAGCTGTGAAGCTCCTGTATTACTGCACAGCTGTAAAATTAAATTTATACTCTGAACTTTTCAGTTAGAGAAATATGAGCTTGTTGCTAGTATCCTGTTTTTTTCTTCACTGGAGTCTTCTAGTAAATTAAAACAATTTTTTTTCAATTACAGTTGACATTCAACATTATACTAGTTTCAGTTATACAGCATAGCGGTTAAACGTTTGTATTCCTTATGAAGTAAATCTTCGTGTAGAGTAAAAATTAGGTACATAGTGCTGTGTTGTAATTGGTTTTATAGCTTAAGTCCCAAGAGTTTTATAGGCGTCGTGCCGGAGTTTGGGAAGTAGTGGTCTGGCTGCACTTGCTTTGACGCTGAAGCAGAAGCTGTTGTGGAGGGCACATCGTACCAGGCACAGAAATGGGATCCGAGTTTCTTAAGCATGAGATTTCTAATCTGAGGAGCATTTGAGATCCGGCTTCCCAGCCTGTGTCATCAGTTAAGCTCAAATAAACTCCTATAAAAGTTAAAAAAAAAAAACAACAACAAAAAACGGTTGGTTGCTTAACACTTCAGATGTCCTTAGGAAGATATAAATATATTTTGTTAATCAGTACATGGGATATTAGACCTGACATTTTTTGTTAAAGAAATGCGCACTTTCCTGTGGTCATTTAGAAGTATTTCATAAGTAAATATAACAATGTGGCACAAAAGACTTCCACTCTGCAGCCTTGTCATTTTTCTTCACTTTACAGAAGAAGCTGTCACTCGAGTGTGCTGCAAGGCTGTTTGCTGTTGCTACTAACAGAATGTCTTGTAGTAGTCTTTTTTTTTTTTTTTTAAGAGAAAGTATAAGATTTATTTTAGAGAGCTGTGAATTTTGAGGGACATGAAACAACCGCATAAATGTAGAGATATACCATGCTCCTGGATTAAAAGTCTTAACGTAATAAAACCGTTAATCTTTTTCAATTACCTGTATAAATTTCATGCAATTTCAACCAAATACAACAGGCTTTCTTTTTAAATTGAGAATAATGATTTAAGAATGTATATAAGAAAACAAAATATGCAAAATGGCCAAAAATGTTTTTGAAAAAGTAGAAAATAAGGGGAGATTTATTCTTTCTGCTATTAAAATTAAAAACTACTGTGTTCCAGAATCTTCCTCTCAGCCTCTGTTCCTAGGGAACCCAACATGACACAGTTATGATCGGTCTATCACTCAACCATGTTTTGGTGGGATGTCAGAATTTAATTTGAAGGCAGTGGTTTTACTCAGATAAAGAGGCATGAAAGGGAAGTCAGTTTACGTTTTCTAAAACTGGACGTTACTGCCAAGTGGGTCTCAGGTGGGCTCCGGACCCAGAAAGCAGTCCTCTTGACCCTTTCCTGTTGCCCTGTGCCTTTGGGCTTTGCCTTTTATCCTTTGCCTCGTTGACCTGGCCCTTCTTCTTGACTGGATCATTTGGCTTGTTTCTCATCCAGCACAACTCCTCCCTGTTTTGCTTGCAGTTCTGTGACTTGGCACCCCTCCTGATGCTTTGTTGTGGTGTGGCCACCTTTACGATCCACTTGGCCTTGGCCTGGTATCCAGCTCCATCCTTGCAGACAGTTCCAGAATTCTCGATTTAGGCATGGCCTCATTCACAATTATACTGCTCCCTCCCTGGAGAAAAGTGTCTCCGGAGGATTGTGACAAGTGGCTAGACTCAGAGCACTTTAGAGTCTGGGGCCATGTCGTATTTATCAGCCAGGTGTTGAGACTGTACTTGCGTTAGTTTGCCACGGCTTCCACAACGAAGCGCCACAGTCTAAGTGGCTTAAAGAACAGAAATTTCATTCCTCACAGTTCTGAAAGCTACAAGTCTGAGATCAAGGTGTTGGCAGGGTTGGTTTGTTCTGAGGGCCCCTCTCCTTGGCTTGTAGATGGTCATCCTTTCCTGGTGTCTTCACATGGTCTTTCCTCTGTGCATGTCAGTGTCCTAATCTCTTGTATTAGTCTTAAAATTAACCTTTCATTCTAAACACGAGTTAAGCGGCAGGAAGACCGCATAGGGTATCCCCAGGCAAAAGGTTGCGACAAAGCTGTTTATGCTTCTTGGCCAGTGTGTTTGACAGCATTTAACGTAGATTTGCTTTCTTCGTAACGTAGGCTCTAGTGGTGAGGTTGTGGTAGATAGATCTATTTGAAAGATATATCTGAAAGTCCAAAATGAAACATTTTGTACAGTACTCCATGGTGTATCATCTCAAATATCAGAAACGATAACTGGTCAAAGCATTTTCACTATGAAGCTGTCTCGCTGTCAAAAACTGTATTTTCTCGTGTTTACCAGTGAGCCTCGTGCATATTTACTTCTGTTGAAGTTAACACAAGCCAAAAATAAAATTCTCTGTCTTTTACTCAAACACACGTGCGCGTGCCTGTAGACCCAGATAGACGCAGTGGAGATTAAAAAGCAAATAAAAAGGTGATTTCTCGTCTGATTTTGGGTGTCGGCCTATGTCGAGGAGATGCTATGCATGGTGCACGCCTGGCCGGGCGCCCTGAGTGTCGCCGTCTGTGTCACCGCAGGTGTGAAGCAGGCCTGCTGCGAGTTCCTGGACAGCCAGCTGGACCCATCCAACTGCTTGGGCATCCGGGACTTCGCCGAGACGCACGGCTGTGCTGACCTCATGCAGGCGGCGGAGGTGTTCAGCCAGAAGCACTTTCCGGAGGTGGTGCAGCACGAGGAGTTCATCCTGCTGAGCCAGGGCGAGGTGGAGAAGCTCATCAAGTGCGACGAGATTCAGGTGCGCGCCGGCTGCCCCGCAGTGTCTCGGGCCGGGCCAGGACGTCCGGAGCGGCTGGTGGAGGCACCTGCGCCTGTGGCCGGGCTTCTCAGGCGCGCACCCACGCGGGCTCCACAGGCCCCTTTCAACGGCCCTGAATCACATGCCAGGCTGATTTGCATGTGTTTGGGCAGGAGTTCGCCACCTTCCTTGCTAAAGTGTATGAGCCTAGAGGGTAAGAATTGCTGTTCAGCACGGTGCAGATTAAGCATGAATTGGAAGGGAACCAGATTTTTCTGTTACCCATCCGCTCATTTTACAATCATCTTTTGACATCTGCCATTCTAATGGCACCGTTCTTGGCGTTTTTTTATCTTATTCTCCAAAGCAGCTCCATCTTTCAGCGGAGGAAACAGGCTTCGAGGTCAGCCATCAGACACAGCCAGTAAGTGGTAGAGCCAGGACTCAGATCTGGGCAGCCTGGTCCAGGCTCTTCCCTCAACCACTAATCTGACTTGGTCTCCGGGCTAGTCTGTTTCTAACTGAGCAAGTCAGGGGCGCTCGCAGAAGTCTCATGTTTCAGATCTACAGACTTGGTAACAGGTCGAGCAAATACTAACCTATTTTTTTATTCAGAAGCTGAGAAGAAACAGTTTGAGAACTCCGTTGTATGATTGCATCTGTCTAGAAAGACAGCGAATGACACCTTTTTTTTCCTTTTCATAGACTAGTGTGAAATAGGAACCAGATGTCTGACTCTCCATTGCTAACTCACGCTTCCTGTTATGTAAGACAATAGCACTTGAACCAGTGGGAAGCAGCACAGCATGTTGGTTGGATCAGCGAGGGCTTTGGAAGCAGATGGAGGTTGCCTCTGGCTGTGTGGCATGTGCCACCCAACCTCTAATCTCCTCTCCCTTAAAATGTAGGTAACTGGTGCTGAGTCCCCAGGGCTGTTCTGAGCGCTGAGTAAGAGCGTCAGTGCCTGACACATTGAAAGAATTCTCTGTGAAAAATTTCTCCCCAGTAAAGCACGAATGTTGGGGTTTTTCCCTCTTGATTTAGCTGTCCTTTTGCAATTCTAGTTTATTCTGTTTTCAGTAAGATCAAGGATTGAAAAATCCCATTTTAAACTGACGTGTCTGATTTAAACCTAGAATGTGTCGTAATCTAGCGTGCAGTTAGCTATTTAAAACGATCAGCCTGTCATTCTTGAAAAAAAAAATTTTTGAGACAATCCCCGGCAGCGCTCTGCACTCCCTGCGTGGAATCCGTCAGGCTGGGTTGGTTCGGCCTCCCATGCAAAGGGCACGTAGGTTTCTGGCACCACTGTCATAGTCTGTGCACCGCCACCATTTGCCTAGAGTGCCAGAGGAGCCTCCAAGTGCCTCGCAGCTCTCAGTCCTTGTCCACTGTGCCACCCGTGCTCCCCAGGGGAGTGTACCAGCATGGATGCGATCAGACCGCCAGCCTGCATGGGGCGTCTTCGTGATATCCAGGTGCTCTTAGAGTGATGCGGTCTGGTCCTTGTTTACTTCTCCAGCTTGATCTGTCACTGTCCTCCCTCCCTCCCGCGCCGCACTGCACCAGCCTTCTGTCATTTCCCTTGCTGCCAGCTCTTTGTGTAGGACAGGGCCGTTGGACGGGAGGACCTGAGTGCGCCGTTTAGCTCACTAGCCACCCGGAGCAGTTGTGCGCCTGAGACGTGGCCGGTGTGGCTCAGAAGCCGAGCTGTGACGCTGGTTTTACCTTGTGTGAATGTGGCCGCCCGTGGCTGGTGGCCCCATGTGGGACAGTGCGGCCCCGGGGTGTGCCGTGCTCTGCCTTGGAGGACTCTCCCCACTGTCCCCCGCTAACTGCTGCTCCGCCACCAGATTGGAAACTGCCGCTTCTGCAGGGAGGCCATCCCTGCACCCCTCAGTCGAGGTTAGGAAACCCCAGTTTTCTGCCTCGTAGGCTGCCTCCTGTGTGGTGCGGCATGGCCGCATGCTCCTTTCTCCACTGGCCTTCTCTCCCACGTGGAGGTGCCCACGTGTGACACGCACACCGGCGAATGAGCCGCTGTTTCTGGTTCCCGGCACTCGGTCGGTGAACCCCTCTAAGCGTTTTCCATGTTTCCACTTCTTAGAAAGCGATCACAGGTGGTTTCATTGCCCGGGTGCTGTCACACGCGGGACGGCGTCTCGGGACAGATCCACTGGGCTGGCGGGAGGGACGCAGGACCTGCGCCCTGGTGTGTCTCCGTGGAAGGTCCTTGGTGTCGTTGCGCCCAGAGCTGTTCAGGGGTGTCACAGGGTTACGCTCTGTCCTGCATGAGCTTAGACCTGAGCTCCCCGAGTGACTGTCAGGCCCGTTACCTCAAGTAGCAGGAGGCCTCGTACCCCGCGGTTGCTCAGGTGCCCATGGATGATGCCTTGAGTGACGTACAGAGGTTCCAGCCCCACAGGCTCGAGCGGGTGGTAGGGGCAGGCCTGGCAGTCATCACTCATCTCAGACACACAAAAGTGATTTTAAGAGTCAGTTTTGAACAGGACAACAGTTTCTCCCCCCGCTCCCTGAAAATTTCAGAAGAGACCAGAAAAAAGTTGCAAAATGGGAAAAATTCTCAAGTGAAAACCAGCCTGTGACTGATGGTTTATTAGGCACGATCTATCTTCGATATTTTACCCCATTTGATTATAATTTTCCTCCCGGTCTTGGTGAGTCATGTTGGAAGAGATTGTTTTCCTGAGAACCCAGCTGTCCCTGGAAGATGGGAAACCGCGGTGACTGGGGGTGGGGACCAGGCAGGAGAAGCAAGTATGGCTACGTGTCGTGGGTGTGAGACCACTGGAGAAGCAGAGGCCTGGGACGTGTGACTGTGCCTTCGCAGGTGGACTCCGAAGAGCCGGTGTTCGAGGCCGTCCTCACCTGGGTGAAGCACGCGGGGAAGGAGCGGGAGGAGTGCCTGCCTGAGCTGCTGCAGTACGTCCGCATGCCCCTGCTGACGCCGCGCTACATCACCGACGTGGTGGACGCCGAGGTGAGGCGCCGCCACAGGGCCCAGGACCTTGTCCCCAGCTTGCTTCTGCAGGCACAGGGCTGCTGGCCGCCCTCTCCAGGGAGTGCCAAGGAGGGTGGCGCTAGGGAGTCTCCCGGCCATTGCTTGGCGAGTCAGCTGCTGACACAGATGAAAATCTGTGGTTTAATTTAACGTTCTGCTTTGTTGACTTTTTGTTTTACATAAGCAACATCGGGTGATAAATTTTGTCCCCTTCTTCATTAAACAAATTATTCCAAATTGCCCTGAAAAAGGTACTTTGCTATCAGGTTTCTTTATTTTTGGTCTCTGGCGAAGCTAAGGTGAAAGTTGGTTGATGCATTTTAGTTTATTTACAAAAGAATTTCTCCAATATAACTTTATTTTCCGCATCGCCTGGCCTACCTGGACCATACCTTGGGGGACGTTGGCTTGTGACACATGGGTCAGGCCCAGGTCAGCGAGTGTCGCCTTCTGACCAGCCCACGTCTCTTTGAGAGTTCCCTACAAACATGGGTTCCGGCTGTCCACGTGAGAACGGCCAGGCTCCCCTCTCGCTCTTCCTCCCTCCTCGTGATTTCTCCCTTAAAACTCACCCGGATGCCGCTGACCTGGACTCTCGAGACAGACTCGGCACCGAGACCCCAAAGGCACCAGCTGCCTGCGGTGGGGGGGCCCGAGGTGTGGGAGCGCTGTGGCAGTTCACGGGCACCAGGCTCGGCCCTGCGCAGCGCGGGGAAGGTGCAGGGTGAATCCGGGGAGACGGGAGGTCAGCAGTGTGGCGGTCTGCCAGGCAGTGCGACAGTGCCGCGAACCTCAGGAAAGCAGCCTCAGACAAGACTGGCCTCTTCTGTCGTCCCTGGAAATAACAAGCCTTTTGGTTTCTCTTAAAAGTGGTGTTAATTGTGACGTGCTTGCCTTCGTTTAGTCACCGGAGGGTGTACAGAGAAGAGTGGTTATTGTCAGTGCCGCCCTGGGTGGGGATGCTCCCAGTGTATACACCTTAGAGCGTTTGACTTTCGAACCAGGTAACATACAGTTTGTTCCAAAACGTTTTTTTTAATCCTGCATGGTTATCACCAGCAGCCGTCCTGGGTTTCCGTATTAAGAAGTGAACTGCAGCTCAATCATGAGTGTGCCGCTCACACCTGTAACGTTGGAGGTGGCCCCGGTGGCCCACCTTGCTGTCTGCTCTGTTCCAGCCCTTCATTCGCTGCAGTTTGCAGTGCAGGGACCTCGTCGATGAGGCAAAGAAGTTCCATCTGAGGCCTGAACTGCGAAGTCAGATGCAAGGACCCAGGACGCGGGCTCGTCTAGGTAAGCTGGCCTCTGGGCACAAGAGGGGACATTTTTCAACTTCCCCTCGCCAGGTGCCATGACATAGTTAAAAAGAACATTCTGAAAAAAAAAAGAAAAAGAAAAAAAAAAACCTCGTTTCAGATCTGTTTTTAATCTTTTGTTAATTGTGTCATCTCAGATAAATACTTTGCCATCTGAGCTTCGTCCCCTATAAACCAAGGATACTTCCCTATTTTACGTCTCTCGGGAGGATTGAATGAGATGGGATGTGTGAAAGCACTTTGAAAGTTGTCGAGTATTATGCACTCTAAGTTTGTAATTTTATTTCAATATATTTGGAATCTGTGAATTGGAAATTATTTCAAATGCCACGTAGTAAGTGGTATGGTCCCACCCACCTCTCCCGTTCTCCCTGTGTGTTTTCCATTCTGGATGAAAAGAGGAAGGAGAGAAGCAGCAGTGTACTGTGAAGTCCAGGGTCAGCATGGCTGAGGGCACAGGTGTTTGGGCAGCGGCACGCAGTGGTGAGAGCCTAGGCTCTGAACCGGACCGCAGGTGCAGGACCCCGTTTCCCACCTACTGGGCATACTGACTTTGCCAGGAGACCTGACCTCTCTGCCTCGACTGCCTCATCTATAAAACGGGGTCAGCATAGGTCCTACCTCAAAGGTCATTATGAAGAGTAGTCGAGGTAATTCATGTAAAAGGCTTAGAACAGTGCTTGGCACATGGTGAGTGCTACATATGTTAGCTATTATTTTAGCAAACAGACCTAGGTTCAAGCCCCAGTCCCACCAGTGACTGGTTGTGTGACTCTGGGCAAGGTTTCCATTTACCTGAGCCTGTGGTTGCGGTTATACGCCCACTGTGAGAGATGCCTGGCGTAGCTGGCACTACGTGGTATCAGATACTCTTCCATTCCTGTCCTCCCTGTTCCGCTGCTTCAGGAGCCTGGCTACAGTGTGTGAAAGCTAAGGTGCTAATTGATAATTAAGCTGTTCACTGCTAGATTTAAGTAGAATGATGATTTATTCCCTGCATTTTCTAACGGTGTAAGTACTATATGTCAATGTAGAAGTTCTAGAAACACAGAGAAGCAAAAAAGTCATCCATAATCCCATCATTTAGAGATATTACTATTTTTTTTAAGAGAACTCTTAAAGAAGTAGTATGTGACACTGTTCTACTAGGTGATAAAACGTGGTCTGTAACACGTACTATGTACAAAGATACACAGTCAGCACGAGATAGATTGAAGGACTAAGGGTGAAAAACCGTGATAAAATTAGGAGAAATTATAGGAAAATACATAACTTCTAGGTGGGAGCCTGTTTTCTATTTTTAATTGTTAAAATTTACCAGCTTAATCATTTTTAAATGCACAGTGTAGTAGTGTTAAACACACTCACATCGTCGAGCAGCCAGTGCCCAGGGCCCTTCACCTTACATTACTGACAATCGGACCCGTCACAGCACAAGTCCGGCTTCTCACCCCCCACCCGGGGAGGGACCTTTTCAACTAAAACGAAAGCCTAGAACCTTTCAAGGTTAGGTGACTGCCTCTTTTTTTTCCCCCCAATTGATGGCAAAAGACAAAGTCAAAAGACTTGGACTGGAAGAAAATATATTCAATATATATGACACAAGGTTAATATTTTTGATATTAAAAGGATCCACATAACAAGAAAAAGAACAGGAACCTGGTAAAGATTGAGATGTGCAGGCGGCACAGAGGGCGGGGAGGGTGAGTGGACAGTAGGGTAGGCGCCGCCAGCCAGCAGGGCTGGACATGAAGTGAGATGTGACACATTACGCCCTTTGTGCCCCACCTCTGGGGATCTACATAGAAATAACATGTTTTATGGAAGTAGTCACATTCAAGTAAAGCCGCGTGTGAGAATGTTCGCAGAAGATGCTAACATTGCCAGAAGGAAGGACCACGACCTGAATCTCATCCGCAGGGGAGTGAGTGGTTGATGGAGCCGAGGAGCGTCGGGGCGTGGTCGCGGG